AGGTAGTACAATGCACAAGCAGACTTTTGTGTATACAGGCTGGGAGTGTTTGAGTCAAAAGCTATGCAGCATAAACAAAAGTAAATAAAGTAGGCAAACAAATAATGTGAGCAAATAGAAACCTAAACAAAGACTGAAATGAGACAAGCCACATAGCCTCAAGGTTGGTATCATTTTTTATTTGCATATGGCAATCAAGCTGTTAATCAGTCAGTTAGGAACCACAGAGAGCCAACATCGACATTTTGACAACATCTCACAGATGACCAGATTAGGCTATATACACTCTGATAAACCATGATCAGAAACGTACCAAAGGTTAGCTACAAAGCAGTTAAAGCACAAATATGGCGTTTCCTGCTTCTGAAAATGACTGATGATTAACAAGTAGTAACTTAAAGTTGCAAGAAAAAGTAATGGCACTGTTTGCAATTTCCCGGTTTTCTGCATAAATTGGTCATGAAATGTGATCTGATCTTCACCAAAGTCACAAATATCAACTAAAGCAATATTTCTAAGATGATAAAACACAAACAGTCATGATCTTTTATTTCTTTATTGAACACACACATTAAAAAATGATGGTGGAAAAAGTAACAGCAACAGTGTTTTAATAACAGGTTGAACCACCTTTGGGAGCAGTAACCTGTAGCTGTGCATTAAACCTGCACAATGTTCAGGGGGAATTTTGGACCATTCCTCCACACAGAACTGCTTCAGCTCAGCCATGTTCTTAGGACGTCTGGTGTGAATGGCTGTCAAGGTCATTCCACAGCATCTCTATTGGGCTGAGGTCTGGGCTCTGACTGGGCCGCTCCAAAAGGCAGATTTTGTCTCCGAAGCCATTCTGTAGCAGATTTACTTCAATGTTTAGGATCAATGTCCCGCTGCATCACCCAGCTTGTTCTGAACTTCGGCTTGCCGACAGCCACCCTGACATTATCCTGTAGGAAACCTTGATAAACATGGGAATTCATTTTTCCCCTCCACAGTGGCAAGCGGTCCAGGTCCAGAGGAAGCAAAGCAGCCCCACATCATGATGCTCCCTCCACCGTACTTCACTGTAGGGACGATGTTATCATGTTGGCACGCGGTTCTCTTTTTTACACCATACATAGTGCTGTGTGTTTTTCCCAAACAATTCTACCTTTGTCTCATCTTTCCACAGGACATTTTCCCAGTGGTGTTGTGGAGTGTCACGGTGGTCTTTGGCAAGATTCAGGTGTGCTGCAATGCTGTTTTTGGAGCACAATGGCTTCCTCCATGGTGTCCTGCCATAGATACCATGCCTGTTGAATATTTTGTGTATGGCTGAGCCATGAGAGAGATGTTAACCAACTCTAGTGAATCCTTATCTAATACTTCAGGGTTCATTTTTATCTCATTGATTTATCTAATACTTCAGGGTTCATTTTTACCTCATTGATTGTTCTGCGTTGTGCCTTTGGAGTGATCTTAGCTGGGTGCCCACTTCTATGGAGAGTAGTCCCAGTACCAAACTGTTTCCATTTACATTCTATGGAGAGTAGTCACAGTACCAAACTGTCTCCATTTACGGACAGTATGTCTAACTGTGGACTGACAAATATCCGAATTCTTTTAACTGTGGACTGACAAATATCCGAATTGTTTGAGATGACTCTGTAACCCTTTTCAACTACATGCAAGTCAACAACTCTTGATCTTAGGTTTTCTGAGATCTCTTTTTTGCACAGCATGGCTCACATCAGCTGATGCTGCAGGCGAACAGCACACTGACACTGTTGGAGAGTTTTTCTAAGTCAAGGTAATTCTAAACCATACCTCCTTTCTTGTTTCATTGATTGGTCTCCGGGTTTGCTATAACCTGACTCCAGTTGACAATTACTGACACGACTTTCTATCATTACTTTGTATGTTTAATGGGTGTGTTCGATAAAGCCATAGAAGAGCACAGCTGTTTGTGTTTTATCATCTTAGAAATATTGTGTTTGTTGATATTTGTGACTTTGGTGACGATCAGATCACATTTCATGCAGAAAACCAGGAAACTACAAACACTGCCATCACTTTTTCTTACAACTGCATGACAGGCTGCAGTGATACATCATTCACAGACAAGTTATAATGTATATGGTTACAACTGAGGAAATTCCTGAACTCTAAATTCCATCTAATCAAAACAGGCAGTTGTTAATGATCTTTCTACTCTGTTTATTTATTTTGGTTTTCGGGATCACGTTTAGTTTTGAAGACAACGGGCAATGTTTCCTGTAGACTTTTCTGAAGATGACGGGGGTGATTTTAGTTGTATGAATATGTTCGCCAAATCTATCTGAGATTATCATCTATCTTACACTAACAACTTGCCTCGATCTAAGCCCCCGAGACCATTATATAAAACTCGCAACCATTTATTTATGCGCTAGGCTTCAGTCTCCATTGCTTTCGTGACGACTGATCTTCGTTAGTGCGATCATACAAAAGCACCGGATTAACTGGACGACCCGTGTAAGCGGGTTCTTATAGTGTGGAAAGTTATAAGATTTGTAAAATTCTATTTCAACAATGTACACGGTGCACGTTTAGGAAGCTGTGTCCTAAGTTAACTTAGCTGCACCAGCCTCCATAACACAGTGCACAGGCGACCATTTCAATCAACACCTAAAACATTTGCTACACTTAAAAATCTCAAAGAACGTTATCTGACATAACGTTAATTTAGCCGTTTGTAACACTGCGGTTTAACATTGTTAGCTCAACGCAGTATGAATGGAATCGATATCCGTTAACACCAACCATTGCAGTCTGAGGTTCACGTTGAGAATGTGAGCCTTTAGCTAGAAAAAATATAAGGAGAAAGCAGGGGGCTTAAAATGTATGCACGTTAAATAAGCAGATAAACCAGTCTTGTATATCCGTGATCTTTAAAAACCTATGTCACCTGCACTGAAAAACAGTTCTCGGCAAACCTCGCGGGTAGCGCTTACGCTAACAGTACAACAAAAGCTAGCAGCCTCTTCGGACGCTAGCTTGTTAGAAATGTTCTCTATCCTCTTCATTTTACACTCGGCAATGTCATAACTCATTTAACACTAAATGCGGTAATCATTCAACGAGTGTCAGCGCGTAGTACAATTAACATTTGCTCACCGAATTACCTGCGGACGGACAGTGTATGACTCGAGGTTGTGCCTGAAGAAGAGCCTTCGGAGCGGTGTCTTCCTTGGTACCGAGCTAGCCACAAGTTGCTAGCAGAGGGCGTGGCTTGGGTAAAAGTAAACAATGGTAACGTCATGTTCACACGCGGGAACGCTTCAGATCATCAGGAAATTTAACTCTGTTAAAATGAATGTGTCAATATTCATGACTTCACAACCATAAGCAATACCTTTAAAATAATTTGGAAAAAACAATTCTTAAAAAGCTCAAGTTCTGTTCATAATTTTACCGCGTTTTGTTTCCTTATTACAAATGGTCATTTTTTTACTTTGCAAAGTTAAAACAGCTTTTTTTAACAGGGTGAGAATGAATACTAAAAAAAGAGTGCTAAAAGCAAAATTATATAACCGCTTTAAATTGACAATATTTAGTTCCACTGACAATTGCTTAATATATTCTCTCATTTCACAAGTCTATAATGTCACATCTGAATGAAGTTTCAGATCAGGCATTTCTGAAAAACAAATCTCTTGTTCCTCATATCATTGATCTTAAAACCATATGTGACACATTACACATTTCACAAATGACCTCTGCCATTAGCTCTCATCTGGGAATGGAAATTATGGGACCATCACGTCTGTCATTATAAAATGAAACTGAAATAATTTATGAGAAACAGCAACAAGTAACATTATCTTTGATTTTTTTTTTGTCTTCCAACTATTTACATATTTACAGTTTCTGACATTTCACATCAAACTAAAGCCTGTACTATGCAGCATAGGGAGGCTTCTCAGTTTCCTAAGGCAAATGTTCAATATCTCCCCTGCATTACTGACTCTCGGTGTAAAAAGACACTTCATCCAGTACAATCCAAATATAGATATATACAAGCACCCAGCTCAATAAGTGTTAATAGTAATAATAAGTAAGTAATAATACAGGCCTCAAGGCTGATCAGACAAGCAGTCTGGTGTGGCAGTGATGCACATAATGATCACAGCAAAAACTACTCAATATTTAGATAATTTCATCGGTACTTACAATTATAATCAATAAAAGGGCAACAGCCTTCATGTGGAGGTGTAATCCTTGTGCTAATCCAAATGTAGCCGTCTTGTTAAATGTTTCTATAATGCAACCAGAAGAGGGAGACATTTTCTTTCTAGTCATTGCTGAAGTACTGTTGATATTGGTCCCTAAGACAGATTCCACTATTACAACAGCCACAAAAAAATGAAATTAATAAAAGCCAAAATCGTTCTGGAAGCCAAATTAGGCATAATGATGAAAAATGACAATAAGAATATGCAGCCTCTTGAACATGCACTGTGCAGTGATGGTGCCAAAGTATGTTGAATTTATATCAACTACAAACAGGCGCAGGCCTTGTGAAAAGTTAAGAATAAGATTGTAGGCCGTCCATTGTCTTAATCAGTCCTGGAATCTGACAGCAGACCTGCCAATGAACAGCCCGATGATAATGACCTGAGCATATTTCCATTAAAAACAGAATCAAAAGTCCAATCTGCTATGCTGTTTTTATTCAATGCAAAGTATTAAAAACATCAAAAGACTTAAGTTTAGGAGTTTTTGTTCTTCAAACACATGTGAAACATGACTAGATACAAGACCAACATGCTGAACACAGGATGTCTGTAACATTTTAAACTGCTGTCCGTGCAAATTCTCAGTCATCCAGGTCATAGTATGCTGACAAAACAAAGAAGAAATCATCTAGACGTAGTTTTTAGGTAGAAGACGTTTCACCTCTCATCCAAGAGGCTTCATCAGTTCTGTCCAACTGGTGGTGAGCAGGAGGTATTTATCCCCCTGGGTGGTGTTTCAGTCCTTCAAAGGCCAACAATGTCCCCTAACGACTGATTCACTGCGGTTCCAGTCCTTTGGTGGCCAACAATGTCCTCTAATGACTGAGTTGTTGGGGTCTGGTATCGGTGAGAGTGGTCAACTGTATTTGAACCCTCACATGTGGACCAGCGCCTATTTTATACTGCTGGTAAACACAAGGCATCATCCAACATCAGCAATTATTTAGAAGGTCTAAGGTCTGAAGTGAGTGATCAACTGTGCATCTGAAGGCATTACAGTATTGGTGTTCTCTTCTCCTAGAATATGTGCTTTTAATGTTACTATTATTATAATTAACAAAACAATACAGGGAAAATAAAGTGGCCAAGACACCAGCATTATTAATACTTAACTTATTTGATCACATTGATAAATCTGTCAGTGGGTTTCAAGGGATGGATACTCTGCTCTGGAGACATTACCTCAAAAGTCTTAGTATTATAATACTTGGACTCCAGAAAATCTGCTCTGCTCTGTGCAGTACCAAATAGTCTTATTCCCTCCCTCATCTACTGTTTCAGTCTTATTCCCTCCCTCATCTACTGTTTCATACATAAACACCCAGAAAAGGCTCCTTTGGTGGGATGTACAGTATAATACTTCAACTTGCAAAAATTCAACTTTTCAATAATACAAATACAACCTATTACACAGAAGACTACAATAAATATTTAAAGCTATAGATTTGAGAGCTGCTGTGATTTATACAAACACTGTATGTTTAAATTGCTTGATAGAGCAACACATTTCTTTTTTGTGGCCCTGTGACAGATTTCTGTGTATTATGTTCATTTTTCCCTCAGGCCAGTATTGTCTACTCTACAAAGAGTCAGTTTTAACAAATTCACTTTTAACACAGGTCATATGAATACACAAAAACATATTTCCAACACTGTCACCCACACTTCTCTGTTAGTTGAACACAGAAAAAAGAAACCCATAACAAAATGAATAAACAAAAGCAGAAAAACACAACGTAAAAGGTGACATAAAACCAAAGTGCATTTAGTCTCACTTGGTACCACAAGTCCAAATAAATCCTGGAGGGGCTATCTGATCTCTTACACATACAGACAAAGTGCTTGGTTAATACACATGCTTAAACAAAATGACAACCACAACACTGAAAATTTGCCACAAATTCTACAAAACAGAGATAATTGCATATATTTCTCAGCATCTATTCAGGATATTGTATACTGTAGTGATTTTATTGCATTAACAACATATTTCTATTGCAATTATCATACAAAAGAAAATTTAAAAAGTGCATTTTTCAGCTCATATTAGCATTGCAGCATAATATATATATTTATGTTATCCAGTATAGGCAACAGTATTTTGGCTGTAACATACAAAACAGAGAAAAGAGCTGATTAGAAAAGCCTTGTAATGTATTGTTAAGGTAACAGATTACTTTGTGGCATGAGGCTTCCTCCTAGATCCAAGAATGAGATTTAATTCAAAGGCCTAGCATCATCTGTGCTCAGGAAACTGCAAACTTGCTGTAATACATCTAAAAAAAATCTGACTGTGCACAATCTGCTATTTTGTTAAGGTTTCTGCAAAACTCTTCAGTATAAAAACATACAAACAGTGAATGATGAATAAAACTCAAGTGTTTTTTTCATTTGGCTAAAATAAACGTATTTTGGATACTGTTATGAATGACAGCAGTGCTGTTCAGAAGATGGGAAATTCCATCAACTGAGTTTCATAAAACATGGGCTGCTTTTTGAGGTAATTAAGATTATACATTAAACCACTCTTAGCTTGACTACATCAAAATTTGCCCAAATATAGTCTGAAACGTTCATAAGCAAAGAAAATGTGCTAATGTCTTGATCGACCCCCTTCAAAAGCATGATGCTCCTCATGTGCTGAAAAGATATACGAACAGAACAATTAAATACATTATTTTGGAAGTTAAAAAAAAGTCATATATCACTGTTAATACACAAAAGAATACTCACGTTTGTAAAACACTGCTTTAAAGGGTACTTGTGGAAGAAGCTCATAGATCCTTCCTAAGACATTTGACTCATTAGCACAAGGTGCATTTCCATTCCAGACCTGAACAACATCTTCTCTGTCTCTTACACTGATGCTGACACCGACTACTTCATCTTCTGCAAGAGCAGTGACAAAGACTGAGATTAACACATTTCAGACTTACAGTATTATGTACACATTACAGCAAAGCCTGTTTAACAAACATTTTCTAGACCAAAAGCCTTTACGTTTTAGGGCTGCACGAATATGGCAAAAAACATAACCAGGGATTATTTTGGTCAATATTGAGATCATGGTTATTTAGCACAATTGCTCATTGACTTTGGAACTCTAGCCACAAGGGTTTCATGCCAGTGACTTCTTGGCTGGTCCCAAGCCCGGATAAATAGAGAGGGTTGTGTCAGGAAGGGCAAAAAAAAGTTAAAACATGCCAAATTTACTCATGCAAATCGGATTCGCTGTGGCGACCCCTAACAGGAACAGCTGAAAGTAGAGTAGACATCATGCATTTAGTGAATAACAAAAAAAACTTGTCTTTTAACAGGGGGTGATTGAACTTTAAATATGATTAAAATGAAAACAAAGTATTTCATCTACCTAAATGTGACTGACAGTTTTTACTCGTGGAGGTTTTATTGCATGTACACTATCGAGCTTAGGTGTTGTCACTTTGAGTAACGTTTCACTTCACCCGATAGGAGCAAAACATGTTGCTGCTGTAGAGCGCTGAAGGGGTGCGCTGGATTTATTACACAACACAAAACGAGAGCATCATTGCAAAACAGAGTACGGCACAATTGTTTCCTTTTTTCATAATTGTTGAAAGCCAAAATTGTAATTGAAAATAAAATTCGATTAATCGCCCAGCCCTATTACACTTTCTCAAAGCTTGAGCAACATGTTTACCTGGGGCACAATAATCACTGAACTGTTCTCCAATAGTAGCCAATAACAACTCCTTCCACACATCAGACTGTAAATACGAAGACACATTTGTTAAATGGCAAATAAATAATACACAAACTGTACATAATAAATACTGACATTAATTATGTCACTTACAGAGCAATCTTTGGGCACTTTCATTTTCCAAACACCTCCTTTAGCATTGCTCTCTTCTTCCCTGTATTTAAAATTGACGGCAGCAATACAAAAGGTCATTTTAAACAGTTTCAGGTGATTATGTGCACACACAAAACCTCATCTTCACGTTTAGCTCACCAGAGTGGCTTCCTTTCTCCTCTCATCAGATGATAGCTACATCTCAGTGGCAAGCTGGAGACACTGGGTATGTTGTTGTAAACTCCCCAAAAGTTCTACTCGGATGCCAAGGTCAACAGAGCAAACGGGTTATTTTATTGAACAGAGACAGTTATCCTTGCTAATATTTCACATTTGTTACAGTGCACAAAATCACAGCCAGAGGTCTTTTACACACTGATCTTAACCAGTAGTTGTAGTTAGGGAATCATGAGCATAGAATGTGATTTGACCTTTACATGTCTTGTAGGGGTGCCAGAGGTTTTAAGGCTTCTCTTAACTAAGAAAGTGAAACAAATCTTTGAGCTTCTTCTGATAAGAGTGCTAATAAAAGTTTCTGACACTATGTTAGTTTGCTATGGGCTTGGAAAGAGAAACAATTAAGATTAACATCTTAGCAGAGAATCTTGATTTGAGGGTAAAAAGGAAACTTTCTAATGAAGTGTGTCATCACTCAGCTGAGTGAGCTGTCTGCTGAGGTCATGTTCTCATATCAAACATCTTACCTGGACAGTCTCCACAGTGTAGATTTTCTTCAGGTTTGATTCACATTCGGCTGCTGTTGTTCCTGGTAGAGATCTGACAAAAATCAGATGCAGACATTTAATACAATTCCACTCCTTTTATTTGCTTCTTTTAAAAAAACGTTACAAGCTTGTGAAGATCTCAGCTTCTCTAAAATGTTCTAAGATACATTTCTTTCAGTTGCTACATTGCTCAAACATGTTTCAAAGAGCTGCCCTCTGAGCTGGAAGGGAGATCATATCAGGTGACAAGTAAGCCAGTATACAGTAAACAACACTGACCCCATTTGAAAACAGGTCACTCTTGTGTTACTCAGTGTCACTTCTATTTAACTCGGTTGTGATTAACTAACATGAAATCATGCAAGTAAAAGTGTATGAATGTTAAATTGGGAACTTTTACATAGCCACGGAAAATCTGAGCTACGTAGGTTGAAGTAACAGAAAAATAATGCTTTTCTAAACTCTGGTGACAGACACATGTACAAGGGCTCAGGTTTTTAACACCTCTACTCATAAGAGTCTGAAATCAGACTGAAACCTTGTCTAAATCAAGTGCTGTTAGTTATTATTACACCCTTTTTATAGCTTAATAACCTACCATGTAGAGGAGTTGTAAGTAGGTCAGAGAGAAAACAAGGCGACAGAAAAGCTGCACCAACACTACTAACAAGCAGTTTTATTATTTGTCTGTGATTTATTAAGGCAGACAATCCCCCTAGCGCCGTTAAACACACCTATAACATAATATAATCTGGGGGTCGCACATTCGTCATATCCTTTCTTTGTTCCCATTAGAAGGACAGCTACAAAGAATTCACCTTGACGCTGACTGAATGAGTAGCCAAGCAGTGTCTTACCTATCAAGCCAGAAAGTCCACGGCGAATGTAAGGGCAGAATAATACTGTCATTGTTACTTGAAATACTCCCCAAATCTCTGTCGCTGATGTGCATGTTGTGCTCCAACAGACCCGGGCTGGATGACGTGCTCAGTTGTAATGCAGCCACTGGAAGTGCCATTGTTATGTTACCTCTGAAAATCGAAAAACTTCGTAAAAAGAAAGAAAAGAAAAGAAAAGAAAGAACCTAGCGGACCTCTTGTGCAGGTATTGTCACCAGGGTTGTTGTGTTTTCATATCTTGGTTGGTTAGGTAAAATTAACCCTGATCAGCTGCTGACTCATTGGTCGCTTCACCGGTTTACACCGTCACAACAACAGAAAAACGATGACACCCGTTGACTGCTTGCGGGACCTACAGCGCACCACAGTTCTCCAGAGGTTTCTCTAACTAAAGTCTGCTCACACTTTAACTTAACGTATAATTATTTACGATCTGAAAACTAGCTGTACTCCAATTCTGGCTACCTATGGCTACTATGGGATTGAAATGCTACTGTTGTTGTCAGGGTCAAGTGGAACGCTTCTTCCGCAAATGCGAACACGTCATTTTGCACATGCGCAGTGTTCACTTGCACCAGCTTTGTTGGGTTGCTACCTGCTACTGCTAACTAGCAAGTATTTCCTGCTAGCAACTGGTCACAACTATGGATATCGACGCGATATTGGAAGCGTTTCAAGGTAATACTTACAGTTATCAAAATAAGTGATTCATCATTAGTGTAGGATTTTTACCTTTGTTTTGTTGCCTTCAGCAAAAGATGTAATGTTTGCTTAGAGCGTTACGTATGTTATCGCAACTTAACGCTAGCTTACCAACATCAACTAGTGTTTAGAAGAGACACTTAGCTACTGATCTTGTTTTCTGTCCGGTAACTTGTAGCTAGTTTAATGTTATCCAGTGCTAGAAGTTGGTCGTATTTCACACTTCTGCTCAAGTGTTCCCTTACTGATGGTGATGCAGTTATGTAAACAGCTAGCTGGTTAACGTCACAGCATCCATGCTAACTTAACTTACTAACTTTTATATGAACTTTCCTGAATTGGTATTAGACAGGGTATGTGCAGGTCTTGAAAGGACTTAAAGAGCTCTGAATTCAGTTAATAGGAAAAAAAAAGCTTAGAGGGTATCAAAAAGTCAGCAGCAGTGTTAGTTATGCGTGTTGATGTGTGTCCTATTGCAAGCTCTCGGGACATGTACCTGTATATCCAATGCTATAAACAACAAGCGGGATTTTGCTGCAGGAGGCTGTTAAGTCATTTTTTTTAGTGAAGTTTCGTTTTGCACTATCACATCTGCAGCAACCGCTGTCACTACTCTAGCTACAGTAGCTTTTAGCAAAAACTGCAAGTAATATTTTTTTATGTAAATGTTGCTGAGTATCTTTTACTTGGTTAAATACATTAGGAATCATTGTCATAATAGCAGAGGAGTACAGATAAAAATGGCATAAATGGAAACAAGTTAATGTTCTTAGTAAACAATTGTATCCCTTATTGTCCTGACTGTTTTTTTTTATCTCTATGGTCATGAAATGGGAACTTATAACGTTTTTAATTTGTTAGAAAACCACAGCAACCCTGGTGTGCTGATTTTCATAACGTGATGCTTAAATTGTTGTCTTCACTGTTGAGCATATTTTACTAGACATAGCTGATAAGTGACACAAAACAATCATTTAATCATTGTTAACATGCAGTTAATGTGTTGGAAGTAACCTGAGAGTAAATTAGGCTTAACATATTTTAATAATTAACAGAGTACATTATTGTCTGTTGATTATAATCTTCTGTCTTATTTTGAAGTATTTCAACTTAAGGGTAATGCAGATACAAACATTTGTTTGGCTAAGTTGGGGTCAGATTTATATCCTATTGGTATTATTACAAGTTAACTTTTTTTTCTGCTTTCCATGTGGGCTTTGACAGATTTTGAGAAGCAAGGGAAGAAAGAAACCAGTTCTGTACTAGACAAATTTCTGTGTCATGTCGCCAAAACAGGGCAGCCAATGTGAGTAAATGTTGACACACAGTAACAATGACATTCATTTTGCTGCCAGTGAAATCTGCTTGGTGAACTTATTGCACTCATATTAAGGATTTTATTAAAACCGTGTCCCAAGACTTCGTGTCGATGACATGCTGATTTCCCAGACATTTCCAATATCTTCCAGGATCCCATGGTCACAGTTCAAATCATACTTCATGCTCAAGTTGGAAAAGGTCATGGATGACTTCCATGCTTCAGCACCAGACCAGAGAGGCCCACATAATCCAAACATAGAGTATGTTCCCTTTGAAGAGATGAAGAAGAGGATCTTAAAAATAGTTGATGGTTACAGTGGGTGAGTAAAGCTGTTGGTAAACCTCCTTACAAATTGCAAACAAATCTTTCCATCCATATACAAATGTAGAAGTTCAGTTACATAACTCCATCAGTGTTTGTCCATTACATTATTAATGTTCTTCTTCTCGCATGTTAACAGTTGAATGAAAGCATATCCACCAAGAGATATTAGGATGTTAAAATCAAACCCAAATCAGCCGTAAATCAGCATCTATTGCAAATGTATTTGTGAAATGCATTCAAGACTGACCTAACCCTCAGGCCTGGTAATTTCCTCATGAATTCCCACATAGCAGCAGTGCTCGATTTTCAAATTATTGTGAGATGGCTTTGTGTGGCCTCTGTCTTAAATATATTTCTTGATAACGTTCCCAGAATCCCATTCACCATTCAGCGTCTGTGTGAGCTGCTTACTGAGCCTGAGCGAAACTACAAAGGAACAGACAAATTTCTCAGGGGTTTGGAGAAGGTGAAGTGTTGCACTCAAGATAAGCATTGTTTATGAATATTAGTTTAAGTTGATTTTCCATTGCTTTAAATTCTAACATGCATGTTACTGTGTATTGCAGAATGTAATGGTGGTCAGTTGTGTGCATCCCACACCAGAGTAAGTCCATATTAAAAGCTGTTCAGTTTTAGCTCTCCTTGCTCTCTGATGGCTGTAGTATCTCTTTTGTTTGCCGCTTCATTACAAGTAAAAGCCAGCTGTTTTTGTACTTTGTCTTCACTTATTTCAAAGGAAAAATGGGGCTTCCAGTGTAAACAGAATGAATGGAGTGATGTTTCCTGGTAACACTTCTCTATATTCAGACAGGTGAGGGCAACATGCTTGTCAGTGATTGATTTCCTTAAACTGAAATTGCCTCAAATACAGCAAATGGAAAGTTGAATTAATTTAAAGCAAAATAACCAAATGTTATTTTGTCTTGTCGGTCACTTTGGGTTTTAGTAGCTGCTGATTTTTCACTTTGCAATATCACAGTATTTTTCTTTCTTCTCTTCTCTTCTAGTCGAAATGTAAATGGTCCAGGCACACCAAAACCACTCAGCAGAGCAAAGTTGTCATTATCGACTTCACTTTCCACCAACGGGCTCCCTGACACTCCAGTGAGCAAAGAGCGAGAGCCAACCACAGAGGAGATCGAGGAGCACCATATCAGGTTAAAAAAATTGATACGGTACACACATGTTCTACAGCAGCAACTGACATTCAAAAAGTAGAATCTGAGGGGTACTGAGTCTTTTCAATATTTATTTTTTAAAAGGGAGAGATCCTGATAATAGTAGCAAAGCTAATCAGATTCTTCTTGAGACCCTGTTTTGGAAAGCAAAACATGTGACTACATATTGGTTTAAATGTGAATGTGTAATTTGATGAACTGATTCCCTTCTGTTAATATGGCAGAGACTCCTTGCTATCTGAAGCTGATCTGACACCACATAGCGGTATAAAGAACAAACACCCAGAGGAGGAGGATTCTAATGTTGACACACAAGCAGTCAAAAGGCTCAAGTTTGACGGAAAGGAAGAGGATGAAAAGGAGTCATCGTGTCCTAAAGGGCCAGAGAGCCTGTCAGAGACACTCGAGTCTTCAAAAGAGTCTTGTGGACAAGCGTACAAAAGTGGAACATCGTGTGACACATCTACTATTTCAGAGGATCATGGTAAGTGTGAATTCATCCTGCGTATCAGCTGGATTTTTCAGCCATTTGTGTCATGCTCATCTTATGAAACAGCTAGTAGCATACTTTAATCAGTACATCTGCATATATAGGCTTTGCAACATTCATGTTTCACTAATGCTTTATGTGTGTGTGTGTGTTGTTTTTACTCTGACAATCAAGTTTTTTGATTTGATTTGATTTGATTTGATTTATTCTTTTAAAGCATGTAAAGACAGTTGATATGTCAACACACATAATTTTACACATATCCAACAAATGCTAATCCAATATCAATGTGCTTATACCTAGTACATGCTTGAATGGAGTAGGAAGAAGTCAGACTTATCCAGTCCTACCCCATGACATCATCTTACCATCATTGGTTTACAAGCAGTATCTCTACATAGATAATTCTCTTC